AAGTTAATTCCTATTCATGAAGTGGGAAGGATGAGAGGAGGAAGAAGCGTCTATACAATAGAGGAGAGATACGTGGGGGCTGTGTAGACATCGTGCACGGATGAATAAAATGTACCTACTCGCCTACTCTCGCCTACTCTATAAGCATATGTTCTGAATGTTACACAACATGATACAAGATATATCACAGACTCATTATAAAAAAAATTGAAGAGGGATGTAGGCATTTCGCTCACTAAAAGCACTAATAAACAGCCCCCTCAATGGGTGGGGAGAGATGAAGAAAATATTAAAGAGAACTGTACCAATGTTTGAAATGTATACAATCACTGTTGATGATACAGGTTACAGCCTACGTATAATATAATGTAATTCCCTGTCAACAAATTTCCCTATTTTTATAAATATAACAATAACAATAGTTTTTAACAATAACAATAACAATTGTTTTTAATCCTTGTTCCTTCTTCAACACTCGCGTTCTATTTTGATCTTTGCATCAAAGACATCCGGCAACAAGGCCAAGGAAACGACACGACAGCCGAGATTAGAATACAAGGCTAGATAAATTGTATTCATAACAGTCGCCCACTTAAAAGGACATCCTAAGAAGAAATATACATGGTAGAAATATACATGGTAGAAATATACATGGTTGAAATATACATGGTTGAAATATACATGGTTGATTTCTAAGACTTATTTGTGTTCTAACTGGCAAGAATATCACAGCAAGATTGTAGAGTATTGTTTTGATACAGCAAAAATTATCAGAGATTTCTTTTCACAAATGAAAGAAGGATTGAAACTCTTGTTTGACCATGCTTACAGCACAAAAATATCCAAACAAACACAGTTGAGGGAAATTGAACCCGTTGAATACATTTTTTCTTCTAATTTAGCACACATGGGTCTTGGACTGTACTAAACAATGGTTTTCAAATGGTATAATGAGGGAACAGTTGTACTTCTCTCAATACTGCTAAGGAATACATCAACTCCACAAATCACATAGCAAAGAAAAACTAGTCTATTACAACAACAGGAAATTAAACAAATGAATATGTAAACGATATTTCATATAAATCATAAATTTATAATGTCACAAAACAGACCAGCTCACAAAGTCATTCAATAATTGATATCTCATCCTCTAAATAATTTGATGCATTTGCATAAAATAGTATTCAAATATTGAAGCCAAAAGTAGTACATGTGTAGTTGATGAAGTGTCAGGCAAACCTCTGATCAAATATTTAGGTCACTGAAAATAAGCACTGTAGTTTTGGTAAAATTCAAAATTCAATTTGTAAAGCTACTTTATCAAGTCAAATTGGACTATATTTTTATTCATATAAAATGCACCACAATCCAATAATAGGATGAAAGGATTTTTTTCTTCTGAATTATTGGTGAAATAACATTAGAGGTCTGTCAAATGTTTAAATGACTTTGTGAAATGGTCAACTAAAAAACAAAACTGCAAAAAGAAGTTGCCTCTGACGATGATAACACAACATAATTAACTCAACTTTTGGCATGCAGTGCAGATAAACGCGACACCAGACTTGTACCCCAAGATGAAAACCTGTGGCCTTTGAACTTTGACACAGGTTTAGACCTTACGGGTCAAGTCGAGGTCACAAAACAGAAAACCAAAAGCATGCGCGAAAACTGAAGAACAGCAGGGAACGGAGTTGAAACAAAACAAATAAACTGTAAACAAAAATAAAGTGTAAACAAAGCAAAATATACTGTAAACAAAGCAAAATAAACTGTAAACAAAATTTACATCTGTACAAGTTGGGTGCACCCAGTTCTTAATAACAAAAACAGCAGGAATCTGGCATATCAATTGCAGAGATTGATAAAAAAAAAATGACCAAAAAATAATTTGAGGAGGCCGATTTAAATTCATAAGTCATATTTTTGCTTCATGGAACTGTAAAGATCACATCCGATTCATCTGTGTTACAGGGACAAATTGAAATGGACTCTACATTTACATGTAGTCTCTGATCTCTTTTGAACGTTTTATTTTAGGATCCATATTTGTTTGGCCATGTTCTTTTCAAAAATAGTTTCGTGTTGAGAATATTACTTTCTGTCAAATTTGGGCCATGAATCATAACAGTTTCCATGACTACTCAAGATAAGAAGAAAAAAAATGAAAGATGATTTGAACAGGACACTTTAGACTTATAAAGCCATCCATCAGAAGTCTAGATTTATTGATTTTGACCTTTTAAAATGTTTGTCAGACTTAGGCAACCCACTTGTACATTATAAATCATATAAAAAAAACATAAAATACAATCATTAAGAGAGAAAATCAAAATCATGCATGCATAACAAGATATTTTTTAAAAAGAAGAGTATATTGAGGGAAAGTCCCAAGGAAATTTGTCCTTAACATTTGACAACTTGGTTTGAAATGACCCTGGTAAATGTGTGAAATGTAAAACCCTAGGCTAATATAGTTTCAGATCTCATGCACTTGTTTTTTAAACTCGTAGCAGTTCAGAGTTTCCTCTTTTTCAAAATGAAATCAATCAGTTTCCCTTCTCAAAGTTTGGAAAATAATTTTGTTTAAATTTATTAAAATGAACCAATGTGAATGAAAATTGCAGAATTTAACCGAAAAATTGCCAATGTGTACTAAAAAAAAAAGCGATTTTATATTTCATACTGTGTAGCCAATTTAGAGACTTTAATGAATAGTTGCAATTAAATTGATCTCATTAGAAAAATTGCCAATGTGTACTAAAAAAAAGTGATTTTATATTTCATACTGTGTAGCCAATTTAGAGACTTTAATGAATAGTTGCAATTAAATTGATCTCATTAGAAAATTACAAATTGTACTCTATTGGAAATAGACTATAAAGTTTTTAGTGAATTTTCTGCTCATGTATAATGTGCAATTCTTTGCATTCTAGATCAAAAGATAATGCAAAAATGTTGCTAAAAGGAAACACTGTACTGCTATGGTTTAAAAAGATATCAACAACTCAAAAAAAGTCAGAAAGGAATTAATTTTTACCATTTTACAAGAGTCAATGCCCCTCTTGGCTTAACAAACTGATTTTCTTTTTTAAAATTACCGGTATTACAAAAGTCATTTTGAACAAACCATTAATGTTCTTCACAGATGTCAACAAAACGTTAATGGTAAAAGTATTCACTGATTTCAAAGGAAATAATAAATGCAGGATTACACAAAAACCACAAAAACCTCAAAAACAGATGAAGTGGGAGAGAGCAAAAAACATGTTGATCTACTCGATACCACATGAATTATGAATATGTCAATGTTCATCATGATTTCTATAGATCAATGACTACCTAGACAAGAGCAGGAATTTACAGGACAATTTCAAAACAAAGTTGTGTACATTGGTTATTTGCTGATTGCTTTGAAGAATTTTTTTTTAAAGATTGAATGGTTTGGATCTGGATGAAAGCCCAGGAGTTGCACGTTGGTACTGTCGGTCTTTGTTCCGCTCTGTTCCGTTTCCCCATACATGGGGAGGTATAAAACATAACATGTACAAGTGTGCCCCAAATCTGGGTGGCTATTGGAAATACCATGAATAAATTGCCATTGTAAAACTTGTTTCTACTTCCATTTTGAGATATTTTTATGACATTTTCACAATAAAGAATCTCACACAAAGGCACATTGTGAGCTTGATTTATACTCCGCTGTTTTCTAAATTGTAGTAGGGTGTATTTTGTGTATTTTTTCCTTCTTGACGCAATAAGTTTGTTCATAAATTTTGCATAAAGTCTGCTGAACTGTTATACAGTTCCTTAAGAATCATTGTCCCTTGATTATAATAGCATAAAGTATATGTACATGTATTCAAGAAGTACATTACACAACTATACTGCCTGATACTGGCACAACGGTCATCTTGAAGAACATTAGGATTAATTCATGAATGCATGTGGACGAAATTCCTATTGATATTGTCATGCAAAGTAAATCTAGCCTTCACAAATATATTCATGGGAGTATCGAAGTGAGTATTGTTCGCTTGCAATACATTTCACAGTAAATCCTGTTTCGCTTTCGGTAGTGCTTAATTTCCCGCTTGAAAGAACCAGACATGCTCTTTTGCCAGTTGATGAAGCCCTCGTCTCGCAAAGACAGAGAGATCACGACTTTTCTAATTGATTTTTTGATGAAGAGTAGGATACATGTATGAGTGGAAAAGAATGAGCTTGGAGTGGGAAGGGATTTATTAATTGTTATCATAAGTAGTTGTGGTAGTCATTTTCTAGGAAGTAGATGTAGAAGTAGTAAAGTATAGTAGCAGGAGTGCTGTCCTGTCATTTTATTATGGTGGTGGTGGTGGTGGTCGTAGTAGTAGTAGTAGTAGTAGTAAAAGTGAGAGTAGAAGAAGTAGTGATAGTAATAAATGTATTATTAGTAGTAGACATAGTAGTAATACTGGTGGTGGTGGTGGTGGTGGTGGCGGTAGCAGTAGTAGTAGTAGTACATTGTAGTAGTAGTAGTAGTAGTAGTAGTAGTAGTAGTAGTAGTAGTAGTAGTAGTAGTACTAGTAGTAGTAGTAGTAGTAGAAGAAGCAGCAGCAGTGGTAGTGGTAGTAGCGGTGCTAGTGGGAGTTTGGTGGTGGTAGTGGTAGTTTGGTGGTGGTGATGGTGGTTGTAATGGGGAGGGGGGTGGTAGTGGTATATTACTGGGGGTGGTGGTGGTGGTGATGGTTGTGGTGATGGCAGTGGTAGTGTTAATAGTAGTGGTGGCAATGGTAGTGTAGTGGAAGTGGCAGTGAAAACATATTACGTATATCAAAATTAAAATCAGTTGTAGTGGTCAACAGAAATAGCCAATTAGGTCATGTCAATCATGACAAATGAAATGTAAATAAAGAGTAAATGAAAATAATGAACACAAAACAAAAATAAACCAAATAATCAAAATTAAATCTTTAAAAAAGCAGCATGCAATCAAATCAAATTTTATCGCCGATGAGTATTCTGTCCGGCCTACTACCCAAAGGGCATAACCTGTGTACTTGTAACTCCAGCACAAGTTAAGACCTTACGGGTTTAGGCCAACCAGCAACAGGTCTGCTAAGGTCCCTCTGCCGCCAACCGTCCCACCTGCAAGAAAACTTCTTCTGCAACTACGGTATAACTCTCATCTCTGCAAATAGATCTCGCATCAAGTCATTGGACATTATAACCAAGGGTTAACTACACAGTTACCGGACCAACAATGGTCACAATTTTAACTCTAGCCCCCAAATTCTTACTCAGACCCCCAAAATGTATGAATTATTAACGGGGAAGGGGGAATGTGTACACAGACCCTAAAATGACCCTATATGACGTTTCAAAATACAATTTTCAGACTAGGAAAATAAAACATAAAGCTGTACGATAAAAGCAGGTAGTCTGAACACGGGTTATTTTCAAGATCAAAGGATGACAGTTTCAGGAAGAAAACAATGGATAACAGTCCTTGACAAGTCACATGACTGACCGAGTTGCCAATTTAAATTCCTTCCACAACTACAAGGATTTGACTTACGCACATTGAATAGGGAACTTCATGGAGAAAGGAACTTTCTGCCAGGCATTATCAAGTGTGAAAACAATGGAGGAAGACCTTGGCACGTCATCTGACCGAGTTGCCAATTTAAGATGACTTCAACAAACTTTGTTGGCTACACACATTGAAGTGGAACGTATTTGAGGAAATGATGTTCCTGACATTCTTAAACAATGGGAGAAGTCCTTGAGAACTCGAAATGACTTTCAAAACTTTGACTCCGTACAGTCAACATGAAACTTTTCGAGGAAGAAGATTTTAACCAATTTCAAGTTAAAAAAAAAACTCAAACGGTAAACAAAGTCCTTGAAGATCACATGACAGAGTTGCCAATTTGAGATGTCATGTGCAACTTTTTATCTTTTTTCATTTAACATACGACTTTAGATCAGAATACCAGCAATTTCTATTCCTAAAACTTCAGTTGGCCGATGTGGTTCAAATTAAGGCCATCCCATAGGATTTTGGGTAAGAGATGCAATGTAATACTCGAGATATTGAATCGATATCAATACCAATCCAAATATCAAATAAACCAAAGATTTTTTTTCTTCAAGTACTATGTCAGCAACGTTTCTTCCCGTTACAGAACGATAAATTAGCAGTTGATTGCTATGTTCATTGTTGCAATGTACCATGATGTTCAATCGATATGTTGTACAATATATCAAGCTTTGCGTTACAGGTAATATTAGTGTTAGGTTGTAGAACTCATATTAAATGAGTTCAATTTCTTTCTTTATCCTATTTTAACTAGACATATCCAAGGTAATATAAAACTCGGGAGGGTACTCATTTTTTGCCTGTGCATGGGCCCCATAACACTAAGCTTAGCAATTGATTGTATGATGGCTTGATCAGTCAAACGATCAATTAATTGTTCAATGGCTGGATTAGTCTATATCGAATGGCAAATTTAGTCTAGACTGGAGCTACCCATTGGTTTCACTTAATGAGCTTGAACAGACACTCAGACATATTTGGAGTCCCATATACGGGTCATTCCTTGAGATTGGGGCAAAAATACATCAATGCCTGATGTCACAATGCCTATATGCATGATGTCACAATGTCTATGATGTAACAATGCCTATGATGTCACAATGCTGATGATGTCACAATGCTTATGCTGTAACATTGGGTATGAGATCTTCTACTACACGTGGAAGATGAAATCATCTGTTGGAAGATTTTAATGCAATGAATTAAAAGTTGTGCCGACAGAATCCTTCCTGTTTCAGTTGCTGCTTTTCAAAATCTTTCCTTAAAAACGTGTTCTTTAAAATGTGTTTCTTTTTATACCAGCATTACATCACGTGTTATGTACATCACATGAAATTTTGGTCTATACTATTGATTAGCCAAGAAGCTGAAGTACATGTATAAAGCTGGCTATGCATTTTATTTTAAACTCAATTTGAGCAAACATTGTTATGGTTGATATCCTAGTATGTCACAACAATGCACACAACCATTTCTCCTTCAAAATGAATAAATGACTGTAAACACTGTTATTTTTGCATGATTAATTTTTCGCATGGAGTGACCCGAAAACATATGCTCAGGTTGTTAAATTCGTTTTGCATGCAATTCAGCCCGTTCAAAAAAGTCATGCTTAAATTTTCAAGAGTTCTAAAATTCGCGCTCACCGATCTTAGCGCGAAATCTGCGAAAGGTAATGTACCGCAAATATTTCAACTTCTACAGTAGCTTCCGTTACTCTGCATACAACTGAAGCATTCATATTTGGGTAGGAGAATCTGCCGGCCGGCCTCAGGCACGGGAGTGGATTACGGGTATCGATATGTAGACTAGCATGGTATGATAGGAGACAATATGGTGAACTGAGGGCTTAGCAATAACGCTGAATGGAGGTTGCATACATTATACATAATGAGAAGAGCTTAGACAGACAGACAGGCAGGCAGGTAGGTAGGGAAGGTTTTATGTGTACATAAAAACCAGACAGCAATTAAATTAGCGATTGGCTGTCTTTTGAATTCTAACTCCAAACCCTCCCCCCCCCCCCCCCATCTATCTGTCTCTCTCTCTCTCCTTCTGTTCTATTTTACTCTCTCAATTTAATGAAATTATCTTCATTACAATTACATGTATCTCAGCTGCAGATCTTTAGTTTGCTTTGAAATAAACTGCAAACTGCAAAATTATAATTTTCTAAAATTTGATGGACATTACCGCATTGATACAACATCACATTTAAATTACACGTTAGCAATGATTGGAAATGTACAGCTTTATCAACAGACAGCGATTCATACTTTAAACTGTGTGTCCAGTATTGCATTCTAATATCATAAAATACAGAAATATTAATTGGTTCCTCTCTAATAATATCTTTCTCTCTCTCCAAACGTTTGTTAATCATATTAACCTCATCCATCCTACCTTCATTAAGCTTACCAGTAGTCAAAATATATTTTCCCTGCTTTTTTTTATGGTATCTCATTTCATTTCGTTCAAACCCCTCTCTCTCTCTCACTCCCTCTCTCTCTCTCACTCCCTCTCTCACTCTATCTCTCTCTCTCTCTCTCTCTCTCTCATTTCCTCCCTTCATTTCTAATTATACAAATTAATTTGTTTCGATCTATCTCTATCACACTTGTCCTTGTCCTTTCCAAGTCCTTTCCATTTTCTATCCCCCTCCCTCTCCCTCTCTTTTTCTTTTCTCTCTCTCTCTCTCTCTCTCTCTCTTTCTCTCATATTGCTCTCGACCAATGTTCAATATGTCACAGACACTAGCAGACAGCACGAGGCCCATCACGTTTTTTGCATTGCCAGACTCTGGGCAACACACAACCTACAACTATAGACCCCGCAATGCATTAGGGATGTGTCTCAGTCTGGAGTCGATATCGACACCTGACATGCCTTTTCATTATCTCTATCTCCCTCCTATTACCCCCCCCCCCCCCACCACCACTGCCTTACTCCCTCTCCCACCCTCTTCCACCCTCTTCCAACACTCTCCCTTTTCTTTCTACCTCTATCTCAGAAACCCTATGCTCAGTGCTGGACATGTAGCATATGTACTAGACATGGTTTAAATGTACAGCAAACTGAGCTCTTATACCGGTACTGAATACTTTCTCTTTCTATCTTTCACAATCTCTAGATCACTCTTTCTTATTCCCTCTCTCTGAAGCTATGTCGCCCCTCTTGCCTCGCTCATCCTTGCTCCCTCCCACTATCCCTCTCTCTCTCTCCTAGTTTTTTGTTTGTATTGCTATCTCTGTCCATCCCTCTCTCCCCCTCTCTTTCTCTCTCTCTGAAGCTATGTTGCCCATCTTTCTTGCCTCCCTCCCCCCCCCCCCCTCTCTCTCTCTCTCTCTCTCTCTCTCTCTCTCTCTCTCTCCCTCTCCCCCTTTCTCCTAGTTCATCCCTGCATGTTTATTTCTACCCATCTCTTCATACATGTTATCTCTGTCTGTCTGTCTCCCCATCCCTCCCCTCTCGCCCTCTCTCCCAACTAGGTCAGCTAGCCAACCCAGACAGAAATACAGAGATGAGCTAGTCTACCTCACAGACCCATGAACTCTCCATGAACCCGGCAACCAGAAGCCCTATGCTACATGGTGGACATGCGTTATATATGTACTGGACACTGCTTTAAAAATTATGTACAGCAAACCAATGCCGACTTCCTATTTCTGCTCATAAATACTTCCTTCTGCAAATATAAATCCAAAAATTCTATGCCACAATGGCTTTATTTTAAAGGTTCTAAGAATCAGTCATCACATTTTTCAGCTGATTGGAAATTCTGAGGTAGTCGGTCGACTGGTTTTGATGTTAGTCAGTCCGAGGGAAACGCCCTGGGTAGCGGGGCTGCGGAAGAGACTACTCTGGCAAGATTGAAACAGGATTTGATAAGAGCATGGATGAACACAATACAATGGCTGGTGGTAAACATGCAGCAAACAAGCAATGCTAGTTTGCAGACACAAAACCGTTAGAATAGAACCATTAACTACGTCAGGGTGATGTAAGTTAAAATGGAGTCCATTGTAGCATGTAGACTTAACAGTCTGTATGAACAAGTGGAAATTTTAAAAACAAAATAAAAGACAGGAGCAGTATGTACCCTGGTGATGGCAATTTAAAAAGCAGGTCTGGAAAACAGACATATAACACTACCTGAATTATTACTACTACTAATAAATGAAAATAAATGCAAAAACAAATATGCCTACATAAAAATCAAACCAATAGAATCTCACTGCAATTAAACAAAGCAAATACAAAATGAGCTCCCAAAAGTGACAACTAAAAAGTATTCAATAATTAATAACTATGGCAGACTATACATGTAGCTGCCCCTAACGACACAGCCAGACACTGATTAAATTAGGGCCCATGGCGTTATCATGGGGATTGTTAAATGTCAGAATTGAGTCTGTGGTCGCAGACTAACCAAATGCCTTGAGCTGGGCTGTCTGCCTAGTCTGAATTCAAGGTATTCCATTGGTATTTTCCCTTGATCTTTTACAC